TGTCGAACAGCAAAAATAAGCCACAAAAGGCAGCCACGAAGGCGAATGACAACAGTACACACAGTACACGTTTCAACACTTCTCTTCCCGCGCTCACACTCTCCCGGATGTATACTTTGACATGTACGACCGCTGTCCTAATATACTACACTTGGTCAATAACCTATATTCATTAAGTTGAGAGCCTTGGTTTTTGGTCTGAAAAACACTCATCATCTCTTACTGACCAGATACGAAACCAAATCAATTGCAACCTGGTCACACACATTATTCCCCTGCACGATGTTTCCATTTTTATTCATTTATTGTTTTGTTCACATAAAATTCTGACTGTCTTTCGTTTGGCTTAGGTTTGATTTTACCAGACTTCACTGAAAACCTCTCCTGATAACAGAGTTAACTAGACAAAATTAATGTCCTTAACTTATAAGTTAGACCCAGTTCAGATGCTGAACTTTTCATGAGCCAAACTTCTAATTTGGATTCACTCAAATTATTAAAAGGCTTAGTATGCCTACTGATTCAGATGTGGAACTAAATTTGCCGAACTTAACTTAGTTTGAACCAAAACATATCAAAATGTCAGCGGTTTTCAGACAAAGTGTAAAACTGCTTGTAAAATATGTTATATTAAGTTATGCCTTGGGTTTGGCACATGAAAAGTTCGAGGTCTGAATCAAAGCCATTCCAAAGCCGAAATTCCCTGCTGAGCTAGGCGGGAAGAATGGCTGAGCTGTTCCAAATTCAAATAGCCATTCTTAATTGATTCAGATGCTGAACTTTTCATGTACTTAATTCAATGTATCAGCTAGGTTTGGCTCATGAAAAGTTTGGCATCTGAACTGGGCCTTAGTCTCAATATCAGAGTGAAAATTATCCATATTTACCTCATGCATTTTCTATTATTCATTTGGGAGAATTTGGAACTAAACAAAGACCTTTTACTGTAGTGATCAGCATCTGTATTCTTTATTATCTATCTAGTTGAATTCATTACTAAACGGTAAGGGGAAGAAAAGGATTAATACTAGTTCTTGGAGATAAATGATGTACAGTATATGTAACTACATTGCTACGACAAGAGATTGAACAAAGACTTACCTCTAAAGTTTCATAAAAATCTTTAATTTCATTAAATTTAAATAAGTGTGTCAAAAAATTCTGAAAAAAAAAGAAAAAAACATCAGCATAACTTTCAATCAAAATCTTAACAGTCCCTGTGAAATTGGAACTCTTAATAATAGCTAACAGAGGGGGGTAAAGGTAAAGAATCCGATCCTACCAACGCGTTGGCCGATGTGTGGGCCGACGTGTTGCCAGTCGGCCGACAGTTGGATTCTTTACCTTTACCCAGAGGGGAATGGTTATGAAACCCAAAAAAGTTCTTTGTTGTATTGTTTTTGTTTGTTTGCTTGGCCTTGACTGTGCACAAAACACAATAGTTGTTTAGTTCTGACTAAGGAACTAACCAATAGAAATGTTTCAGTTAAGTAATTCGTACATAGTGTATGAGTGCAAAAACAAAAGATTGTACATGTTCGCAGACCTTCTAACATAAACCTAATGGCATCTTTGTTTAGTATACTCCTTTGATGTTTGCCAGGTTTCATAACCATTTCCCTCTGTTAACTATGTCTTCATGAATTACACAGGTCTAGAAATAGTAGTTAGATAGCAGGCATGAGGCAAGNAAAAAAAAAAAAAAAAAAAAAAAAATCAGCATAACTTTCATTCAAAATCTTAACAGTCCCTGTGAAATTGGAACTCTTAATAATAGCTAACAGAGGGGAGTGGTTACAAAACCCAAAAGACTTCTTTGTTGTATGTTTTTGTTTGTTTGTTCGGCCTTGACTGTGCACAAAACACAATAGTTGTTTAGTTCTGACCAAGGAACTAACCAATAGAAATGTTTTGGTTAAGTAATTCGTGCATAGTGTATGAGTGCAAAAACAAAAGATTGTGCATGTTCACAGACCTTCCAACATAAACCTAACAGCATCTTTGTTTACTCCTTTGATATTTGCCAGGTTTCATAACCATTTCCCTCTATTAACTATGTCTTCATGAATTACACAGGTCTAGAAATAGTAGTTAGATAGCAGGCATGAGGCAAGCAACTTCAATTTTCTCTGGAAACTGTTCTCTTACAAATCCCAAACAGACATGAATGTCCACAGATATTTCTTTCTACTTGACAGGATATCCTCACCTGTACATCATCAACGTGCGCCATTGCAAATGACTGCAGAGGCTGCATATATTCTTCCTTGAAATGACTTCTTACTACATGTCGGTTAGCCATGCTCTGTAACAGTTTTGCTATCTGTAAAGCAGAGAATAAAAAAATAATCAGGGGAGGGTTTTTGATGGCTAACACCACTTTTCAAAGAGAGTAAGGGATGTACAGAACTAGATTTAGGAGAGGAGGGAGTGCAATGTGAACACAGCTCTTCCCCACCTCAAACCTCAGACCCCATTTTCATCTCAGGAAACTTCAATTCTGTCACTCAAGTTTAAAATTTCAAATGGTTCATCTTATTTAGACACATTTAGAGATAAACTTTTTCCAAGAAAGAAAGGGGCATACATCCACACTTCTTTAGGCTGTCGTACTTAGCATACAGGGTCGCTCTCTCTTTCTCGCTCTTAAGCTATTGCTTTGGCCCCCTGGTATGTAATTTCTGAGATCATCTCCTAATTTATGTAGTCCCCAATGTTAGCAGTCTGGCCCCTTCTCACTGCATTAATTCATTTCCCAGGTTAGGTGGGTGTAGAATTAATCTTGAGCCACCTTCAGCAAGTTGCTATTAGATCCCATCATTATAAAACACGGACAAATCTGTTGTCTGTCGTGATATCCAGACCATCATCACAAAGCAAATCAAACTTGGCACTGTACACTGAGCTGTTATGGGTCCTAGTAGATTGATTTCAAGATCATTGCATTGATTTACTCCATTTGGGCAGTTGCAAAAATAAAGCCTGAAAACAAATGCACATGCTCGAATGACTATCACCAAGTTCTAATATTTTACAGACATTTTTTGCAACTTCCTCAAGGTTGTGTCTTCAATCAGGCTACAGGAACTTACTTGGAGATCAACCTTAAGACATGATGACTTACCAATGTTAGATTTCTCCGTGCACACTGGCTTGGAGGTTTACCGACCAACATAAAGGCTACAGAAAAGACAAAACACTGTATATGAGTCACTGTTTTATAATTTTGCTTTGCTCCAGAAAATACTTCTACCTCTCTCATGCTGGGTTTTAAACCACAGAAGTTAACTAAAAGGTACGTTAAGTCAGTGTTTGAGCTCACTAGTGCATCAGCCTGGTGCTTCTCTCTGGTGTGCTTAGCATTAAGCCGCTAGAGTATTTCTACTCCCCCCCAGATGGGACCATTCCTTCTGCCTCCATCAAATTGCATAATTTCAAAATCTTAAATATTGGCTCATACCGTGAGGTGTGACTATTGCTGGATTTAAGAATCGCAGGAGAAAAAATCCACCAATCAGGGAAGTGATATTTGTGTCAGAAACATCAGGATATTTCTCCTACAAGAAAATGGAAAAAAAGTAACAAAAAGTTAGAAACAAGTTGTCCCATCTGTGACAATCAATAGTCTGTCCGATATGCATAATGTGTTGTTTGTGACGATAACATCATGGAATTCTGATTTCAAAACAAAATATATGTAGCATAAAACATAGCATTTTACATTAAAGTGATGCAGGCCATGTAATTTAATTGCAAATTAGAGGATCACCAATTTTATTTATTCTCACCTTGACTAAACAAACAATAGTACTGCACAGCCATCTGATGCCATAAGGCACTTCATGGAGTGAATTTGTGATTGCAGAAACAAATTCTAATGCCATTGTCTGAAGCTGAGTACTGCTTGGAATATATTAAGGAGACTAAATGTAATTAAATGTTTACTTCTTTAACTTTGAAGAGTGGTGGGAACTATCTCCGTAAGCAAAAAGGGTTTGTTAAGATTTCTGTCCATCCGTCCCACTGTCCGTACAATAGTACATCAGTCTGTCACTTCATCCATCCATCCATCTGTCAGTCAGTCAGTTAATTGGTCAATCAAGCAATGAAGCAGAAAAAGCAAGCAAGACTGCAATTCTAATTGGTCACTCAGTCATTGTGCCAGTCTATGAGCAAGCAATGAGCCAGTTAGTCAGTAAGTCAGACAGGCAGTTAGTTAGTAAGGCTGTTGGTTGCTTTGTCAATGAGTGCAAAAAGGATATGTTCTTGTATTGTGGCTTGCACACCAGAGTCATCCATGGCCTGAATATTCAGATATAATCATCAAAAAATTGGTTTGAATAAAAGCCATTGTCAATCAAAAATCCTATGTTATGGAAGACACTGTTAAAAAAATATTAGATGGCATTTATTGAGGTGGGGTTAAAGGGTGAAATGCCCACCATCTCAAACATTCTCTGCCACCATGTCAGGTGTTGCACATCCTCACTGTTACCCTGGTAAACAGTGCAATTAAATACAGTTTTTCTTAAAATGCAGCAAAGCAATGACAGCAAAAGAGGAGTGTCTGGCACCTTCAAATAACAGGATCACAGTGGCTAAGGGAAGGAAATCCTGACAGAAAAACTCTGGACCCCAAGGTGGAGGTTGAGAAGTAGATCGCTGCCTAAGGTAAAGTCTGCATGTGAGCCAAGTGACCCATCAGGCCAAAGCGTATCATGGTTTCTGTAACAGGAAGTGATTAGGAGTATTTCTACTCCTCCCTGGACGGGATGCTAGTCCATCACAGTGTTACCCCCAGCACTAAGTATGCCGGTAACCATTTATATAACTGGGTGGAGAGAGGCAATGTGAGAGTAAAGTCAAGAACACAACGCAATGTCTCTGGCCAGGGCTCGAACCCGGACCATTCGCTCTGGAGATGAGCACACTAACCATGAGGTCACCATGCCTCCACAAAGGCAAACTGCTTACTCTAATAAAACTCTTCTGGTTACAGAAACATGCACAGGAATTCATACTGTTCAACCAGTCTCAGGTCAAAGAGGAGACAACTGACATGGAACTGAAATGACACCGTGCAGTCAAACCCACAACATGGATGCTGCAAGGTCAAAACCACTGCTCATGCCCAGTACTATCACTAAGCTTGGGACATGGAACAGTACGACCATGTTTGAAGCTGGGAGGGTCCAACAGATTAGGATGCTAACTCAAATAAGAAGAAGGAAGTGGAAATGGATTGGCCCTACACTAGGAAAACAACATGCTAATGTTACCAGGCAGGTCCTCTTCTGGAACTCGCACGAGAACAAAAACATGGAAGGCCTAAAAACAACTGGAGGAGGTCTGTGAACAAAAACTGTAGCAGATAGGATTGCAGTAGAACGAAATGAAACTCAAAACCCAGGATCGAGACAAGTGAAGGAGAACTGTGAATGCCCTAAGCTACATCAAGAAGGAAAGGGGATAAGAGAAGAGATCCTTTGTGGTAGCCCAGTTGTCACAGTCAGGGAATACTGCTTCCCATTCTTTCACACTGATCACTTGCGAGGGAGATGAAACCCAACTTGCTGCTTTCAATGTAGCTAATATAAGGCCTATTGAGAAAATAATTTTCATTAATAGCGTGCGAGACTGGATCTATCTCCCTGGGGTGAAGAGGTCCAAGCTTCTGAGGTGGGGTAGGGTGGGGGTTCAAAGTTGCCAATGGGCTATCACAGGGGTGTTAATTTAAGGTTCATTCATGCTTCCCTGTCTGTTTTTTACCTCTAGGTTCCTTACCTCCTGCATATCATTATTATCTCAAAGTATAGCAAAACATTAAAACATACTCGCTCCATGGTCAACTGTCCAGAGGAGTCGGCTAATGTACCATAGATTTCAGCAAAAACCTGAAGTAAAAAGAAAACTTCTTTGAGCTTCTTCAATGTGGCTAATTAAGGAAGTGGTCCATGTGGATGTTAATGAAGTTTATCCTCTTCAGTCCCAAGAATTACAGGAGCCAAGTAGCTCCACAGTGCCATCACTTTATTCAGGTTTCTGTAGCATGAAGTAACTACTGGAGTATTACCACCCCTCCTCCGTGAAATGGGATGCTAGATTGTTCTACCAGTTGGCTGGTACCAATTCTTACCTGTGAGTGAACAGAGGGTATTGTAAGAACAAACAAACCTTGCTCAGTTCTTGAACCCAGACATCTCTATCCAGAATGCTGAACATACTAGTCATGAAGCCACTGTCCCTACCTCCCTCCATCCATCCCCCTAAACTCCCCCTACAGTGTAGTACTACAATAAACTCTCCCTTGGGAGCAGATCCTGGGCTGTGCCCTTAGGAGAGGTGTCTGCCTTAGAGAAAGTTCACTAACAGAGAAACAGGTGAAATTCAGTCTGAACCAGCGAGACAACTGTGTCCTCCATCAAAGAGAGATGTCTACCTTATAGTGGCGTATGCCTTACGAGAGTTGTCAGTAGTAATTGACCCGCCCTGTCCCCCCTCCCCCCCCCCTCAACAGATGGAAAACTACATTCTATCACAGGTGACCCCTGCATACATTCGGCATTTTCCTGCAATCTACTAGTACCCATAATTACTTAGCATACAGTCAACGCAGAGAAAAGTATCATGGGCAGAACTCAACACGACAGTCTTGGTCAGGGTTCAAAGCTACAGATTATTGGAAGGCATTTATTATGAAATGAAGTGGAAGCCTACCAGTTAGCATGCTGGACTCTGTGTAGAGTGGTCTGGGTTCAAACCCTGGCCAGGGTCATTGCATGTGTTGCATTCTTGGGCAAGACACTTTACTCTCACAGTGCCTCTCACTACTCAGGCGTATAAATGTGTACCAGTGAATTTAATGCTGAGGGTAACCCTGCAATGAACTACCAACCCATTCAAAAATACTCCTAGCCGCTTAATGCTACAGAAACCAGTAAAAGCTCTGGCTGAATGGGCTGTTTGGCCTGATGATGACTTAACCTTTACCTGTTATGAAATGAGTGGAATTTCTCACCTTCAGAGGATTGATTTCAAGTACCAGCTTGTCCCGGTCAACAACATGACCAATACATGGTCCAAGAGTTGATTTAAGGTATTCCTGACCTGGCCCTCTTCTATAATAACAATAGTAGAAAAAAAAAACCTATTGATGTACATAATTCCCTTGAATGTGGACTTTTCAATCATATGTATTGCTACAAGACTCAGAAGATTGACTTGTAGTCATAACAGTGGGTCCAAAAGAAACTTAAATTACCTTGTGTATGTTGTCATCATTCTTGTGATGGCAGTATTTGCTCGAAGGAGGCTGTTAAATGTCTCAGACTCATTAACCTCATATTTCAGAGCCAGCTGAAAAAAAGAAAAAGCAACAAACATAACACGCAATCAAGACACTATTCATTCTCGACTTCTATGAGGCATTCAGCCTCATCAGTTAAAGTATCACCTTACAAAAATTGAGCACAAATAATGTAATGCTGTTCATTGTTCTAAAATAGTTAATTGATTAGATTTTCTTTTGCTGATTTCCAATACTAATATTTCTGCACATTACTAAAGTTAACACTTAAGGTGGCTGGTACCAGTTTTCTCGTGCGGACAGTAGATCACTATCGTGCATCGTGCGTCATGCGTGAGTAACACGTACGATAGAGGCGCGAGATTTAAAACTTGAAAGACAAAAACAAATATGGTGGCGTGCGGCTTTTTTCAAGTAAGGTCACCTTTGTACTGTTGGAAACGAAATTTGTATATAAAGGAGGCTTCACCTGCTAGAACAACTTTAGTCAATTCTGTGTATTTAAGAAAAATTGTTTCGGGAATTCAATGTTTCCCAAATTTCAAAGACAACTTGATTGATCGTGACAGCCACTGGGAACGTGTAAAGGACTTGCAAAACATAGGAAATCTACTCAGAATTTGTGTAAAAATCCTACAGAGTAAGCCCAGGAGGTTGTCTTTAACGACAACTACAACTGTAAATGATGTTTTAGCAGCAAACAAAACAAAACGCCTGTTCGGAGCCCGCTCTTCCGCATGGGCACATAAAGCAGTCAGCAGTAGTCAAAACAGCTAATCTTATAAAGTCTGGATTTTTGAATGCGTTGCTACATGCGTGGGAATAACTGAACTTGCGAAGGCTTTTACATGAAAGCAAGCCCAGTGATCCCTTCTTTTTATTGTATTAATATAATATTATTATTGAGAAGAAATGTCAGAAAAAATTTAAAAATTCTACAGAAAGAAATTTGCACTTTGTGCAAATTGTTGTTTTTCCAAGTTTATAAGAAATTGGCTCCGTAAAATTATTTTAAAATTGTTGTGCATTTTCATTTTCAGATGCTAAAAGCTATTGGCTAAAAAAAACTCGGGGTCACTGGGTTAATGTTTTAGTTATTAGTGATATAAGCGAAAAACCAGGTGTGGAAAATCCCCTTGGAATTTTGCCATGGTAACTGGTGACGATAAAATAACAGCTGTTTTAGGTCAGGTATAAATTATATAATCCAAACCTACAAAAATATTACAGTGGCCCTGGTCTACCTTTTTGCTCTATTCTTACAAAGGTATGAGCCATCAAAAACCTGAAAACTGGTACGAGCCACCTTAACCAAAATTGTAACACCATCATTTTAAATTGTAGTTGTGCATGCTGGATCATCAGTCATCAGTTCATTTTTGTTTCATTTTCATCAAAAACTTTAACATTTATTTATGCATAATGGTGAATGTTGTTCTTTTAGCCTTCGAGGAATTAAATTTGTTTATCTTAAAATCATTTTGTCCAATAATATTTCTCAATCATACTCGGACACTTTGAAGAAATGAGAAAATGCTCCCGAAAGTAGATGACCTCCAGCCAGTGTGCACTAACAGCTGATAGTGTGCAACAGCTCATCAGCCAATCAGATTGCATTTGTATCAATTAGTGTTAACACTAGTAGTCAAATTCTACTATAAAAGCACAGAGAAAAGTTTACCTGGAACAAAGTGAGTAATAGATGTTCTTCTCTAAGCTCATACTGATTGCCATATAATGAGAATAAGACAGGCTGTAATAGGTCTAAATACAAAACACAATATTAGAGTCAAACACCCTTTTGAGTCAAACATCCTTTAAACCAAGTGAGAGAGTTCCTTCTTGGCCAGCTAGCAGGCTGTCCTCTTAACACTACTCGACTGTTCCAGGCACAAGTTAGGTTTGGATGAAAGTGTTGCTTTTTTCACTGTCCTGTGGCAATTTTGTTCCGGGGAAGAACTTTCCCTGCCTTTCCCTCTGTTATATTCTCCAGTTATGTTGACTTGTAGTCACTCTTGCTGGATATGTCAACTGGGGAAGGTCAATGGAATTCTCCCAGTGGCTTGTTACTTGAAGTAGAATCCTTTCAAAGTGCTAGTCAACTAATGCGTCTATCAATATCAATAATATGGTTCCGGACTATCTTAGTTTGCACTTTGTCTTCCGTTCCGATATCTTAACCTATAACTTAAGAGATAGTGACTGTTCSCTTGCCATTCCACAGCCCTGCACTAATTATTGTAAAAGGAGTCTGTCCTACAGCGGAGCTGTACTGTGGAATAGTCTACCCTTGGATATTCGTCAGTCACCCTCTCTTGATGAATTTAAATCTAAGTTGAAGAATTATGATTTTGATGGTAATCTTATGTAAGTTTTATTTTGCTTTTATACAGGGCTTCCTTGTAAAGCAGGTTTTTTTTTTATCATTTCTCTTATTGCAGTAGTTATTAGTGATTTATTAGTTAGGTAGTTAGATTAATTTAATATAATATTGTTAAGTCCTGAAGGAAATACCTTGTCTAAATTAGGATTTTACCTAACCTTACCAATGTTAAGCCCAATTGGGCGGGGGAACCCAGACATATGTGGGGTATTTGACTTCAATTGCCATCCCCAGCCACTGGAATTTGACTGCGAGTCTGGATACCGGAGTGGGAACGGTTGATTTTTTTGCAAGGAGGAATGACACCTAATCACATCATCACATGAGCTCAGTTGAGATATCTTGAAATAAGGTGTTTTGGAGGTAAGCACTTGTTTTCAATAAATAAAACAACTACCTCTTACTACTCACTTTCAATAAAAATTGATGCAATTCCTCTCTTTGTAGAGATGGCATGGATTTTCAGTTTATAGCCTCGCTTTTTGTCAGACAATCAAGAATTGGAATTCAAATATTTTCCATCCATTGACACCAAGAAATTACAGTGCATACCTCTCTTGAAATGAATAGACACCTGCGGAGCAACACACTACAGTGCTTTGCTAAGGTGGGAAATTTGATCTGATTTTACACATTTTTTCGGGCCCTACAGTGGGGATTTTGGCCAAAAATTCTTCTGAAGGGTCAAGTGCCCCACAAACCCCATGCCACCTCAGGCTTAACATTGATAGATGCATAACATCTGCTAGAAAAACGCAGTTGTCTAGTTCGGAGTCAAATCTGTTGGCCAGTAACTGCTATCAAATCAAAAGACTCACTCACCGTCAATCTCTGCTAGCGAAACAATCCTTGTCAGCTGTGCTAGGTAGTTAGCCTCCGTTTGGAGGAGAAAAAACAGATTTCCATATTTCTGTATGATGATAAAAAAGATAACTAAACAAAAATTATGATTTCTTTTAAGGGAAAAAACTATGGGTGGACATGTACATCTAGGAGTAATGTTACTGGATATCTCCCAGCATGCATTGTTTCCAAGCTTCCTCAGCCAGTGTTCATTTCAAATTAAATGACTTAAAAACAATGAGAATGCTAAATATTTCCAGTCCAACAATTGGGCCAAATGATAAGTCATACATAACAAAACTCTTATTGACTGACCAATATGTTACATTTGATGTATCAAAATCTTAACATGGCTCTGACGCTTTCAGGAGGATATGGTAAATTTGTTAAGTTTCTTTTGTCCCTCAATTCCACCAAAAAACTTGAATACAAAGAAAACACCAACAAATACAGATGTTTGTCCTGCACATCTTGGAACCATGTTAGAATATTGACAAATCAAATGTGGCCAAATCGCTTGTTAGGAGCCACACTTGGAAAAAATCAGCCCAATATATTTTCTGTTTAGATGTAACAGCATGCAATCTATACTATAAGGACACAATTAAGGCTAAAGTATTCACCCCTGAGTAAGTAAGACCTTTGCATTTGATAAACATGTACATCAGAGTTTAGAGGAGCATTTCAGATGAAGTGTCAACTGAAGGAAACAAGAGGGTAGAGATCAAGGTTCAAACCATCAGCTATCAGAAATCAAGTCCAGCACACTATTCACAGTTGACCAGTTTGTCACTGAATTGACAGCTACCAATGGGTTATTCCAGAAAAAATACACCCCCCCCCCCCCCGACAGATGGCAAACTGGAAGTTCTCATGGGAGGGGGGATTGATGGCTTGGGAAATCTGGGTGAGAGGGGGGGATCTGAACCTAAAAATTCTTCCTCGGGGGTCACTTTTAACTTTAACCCCTCAATCGATATATTTTAACTACTTAAAAAAAAGAACTTTGCCATGGGAAATCTTGTAGTCTTTCAGTTTATAGTGTTTTTACCTCAATCATGAAGAACCAGCGCAATAAATGGATAACAATGATTTACGGTTATGATGCCCCCAAGATATAACACTCCTGACATGACGCCCCCCAACTACAAGACATAACGCCCCCTATGAGACATAATGCCCCCGAACTTGAGTTAAGAACTTAAGTGAAATGTGTTTAAGGATTTAGGATTTAACAAAGGTAACGTTAAATGAAAACAACTTCTCTTGAACTTAATGCATATTACTTGTCTGTTGCTGGAAAGGCAGTAAAATATAAGTCACACTTGACAAGGCACCCTTCTTGCTATGTTCTCATTGTAAATAGATCGATGATTAAAGTTGATTCACTGAGTTGAGTTGGAGTTCATTTTTTACAGTGTAACAGCATGTTTTGTTTCGCACATGGAATGAAAACTTATGATATAGAGATTTATAATTAATAGATGGAAATGGTGCTATATTTACTGCCTCAATAGTAAGAGTGAAAATAAAAGTATCTTGTTGTCAAGTGGGTTGGTCAAGTGGAATGGAGTTGATTTCACCATGAAAAACCTTATATAGCACATGAAATTGAAGGTTATACAGGCTAGATTTATAACTCATTGATTTAACTGAAGTGATTTCGACCCTAAGTAAAAATAATGGTCACACTTGACAAAGCATCTTTGTTGTTATGTAGGGCTCGTGTTGTTGCTGTCGATCGTCATCGTTGATTCTGAAATGCAGTTCATTTTACTATGATATGCCATGTATCGCATATGAAATTAAAGCTTGTGAAGGCCAGATTTATAATTTATTGATTTAACTGATGCAATTTCGACCCTAAGTAAAAATAATGGTCGTATTTGACAAAGCATCCTTTTGGTTGCACCATTGTGAACAATGAAAATCACTGAACGAGACCAAAATTAATGATTACTGACCAAACTACAGCGAATCAAAATCCTGCATAATTTAGTATGCTTAATATGTCCGTTTAGTGATAAATTAAATTGAACTTAAAACATTGTTAGTGCTGGATTATATCTGATGCGTGTATGTTCAGTATCTCGATATAACTTCAATAGAACGTTTGTTTACGATTCAGACCATAATTATTGAGACTTCAGTTTATTTGCAAAGTCACTCAAGTAGATTAATGTTGTTTTTGTTTTTGTTTTCATCATTTTCGTCATCAACACGCCTCATTCTTTCATATTGACCTGCGCAAAGACTAGGGCCAAGTTTTGAGTCAAATATGGCGCCCAAAACAATGGAACGGATTGAGCGATGCAATAAATCAGTATAAAACCAAAAAAAAACAACAAACAAGCAACATGCATGGAACAACAACATGAAACAACCGAATAGAGTAAACTACAGAAAATGAAGATATAAAAATTGATTTTTTATGTAAACATATTTATTATTTTTGATTGTTCGTAAGCTTATCGTTTTTCGTTTGGATCTGGGGTGTTTTGTAACTATCTTTCTATCGGGGGCATTATATCTTAATGGTAGGGGGTGTTATGTCTTTTAGGGGGCGTTACATCTTGTAGTTGGGGGGCGTCATGTCAGGGGCGTTATATCTTGGGGGCGTCATGACTGGTTACCATAACAGCAGCTTTATGACCGGATAAAACACCATCGACTGAGCACGCAACGCTTGGAACATTTTTACGGTACCCAGGCCACCCGTGCCTGTGCTTTGTAACATCCTCAAAAATGGGATGAAAAGACGATTAGGCTGAGAGTCAGTTGTACTTTTCTGTTTTATTCAGGCAACCTAAGAACTTGTTTTACTGGCTAATATGCGTATGCACAATTTGGGTATAATTTCTTTCTTAATTCTTACGATGTGTAACTGTAAAATCGTGGTGACGAATTTGCTTGTAGCATTGGAAATCTAAATGACTTCACAACAACAGAACTTGTTTACAAACAAACATACTTATAATATATACTTTGGCATTGTTAAGTTCTTTAAGTATTTCACATTGAAGATTCCTTGTTGGATCTACAAGAGTTTTAAGAAGTTTCATCTAGGCTGGTTCCGCTTTATTATCTGTGCCTTACGATTGATATGGTAAAAGACAAGTTTATAGAAGCCAGAACATGGGCATTACGCATGAAAACTTGAATGCTTGAAAGAAAGGCAAGAATTCCAGTTGACCTACAGACCCACAAAGGTAATGAAATTTAAATTAGTCTAGTTTGAAAAGCTTTCTTAATAAGCTTAAGTAAATGTCACACTAACAGTCCTAACAACGGGAACTTGATCTTGTAAACACGTGCCAATGTAGGCCATTTTGTCACCGAAAACTGAAATTATAGTTTTTATTTATAATCGGCTTAAGGACTTTCTTCGCAGTAATTTTTCTTACATTTACATAATTGTTAAAACTTACGAATTTCTCATCTTGTACATTTGTTGTGGTACAGAAAAAGGCAAATGGCGTTTTCGAGGAGAGTGTCAGATCACTCAAATGTTAAACACGATCGTTTGAATAATCTGATTTACAAAATGTTGAAATTTAACCCGCAAAATTCACGGAGCTTTTAAATTATAATAAACAGGGATCTTTTGGATGAAATGTTACGTCTTTTCTATTGCCTGTTGTTTCTAGTTTGGGTCTTTAAAAAAAAGAATGGAAATCCGGGCAGGAGCGGGGGTCCTTAAGCTTGGAAATACAGGCAGGACGGGGGCTCTAGCAGTCTGGGAAATCCAGTCGGGGTGGGGGGGTCAAAAATGCTTGCCATCCGTCACGGGGGTGTGTATTTTTTCTGGAATAACCCAATTTAAGAGGACCAATACCCTGGACATGTCACCTCATTCTCATGGTACATCTTGAATCCTAAGCTTAAGATCCCAAGAAGATGTCCAGCTGGGACCTCAGCCTCTGATAGGTTCAACCATGCCAGATTGACCAAGCAGGAGAGGCTAGAGGCCTATAAAAAACAGTCCCTTGACTTGCAGATTAGGGTTTGAGTGTCAACCAATTACTCCACCTCATAAAAACACACTTGATTATAGTAGCCTGCAGAGCGGGCGGATTAGTGGGGCATAAAGCGAAATGCGATACACGAGTGCAGAGCAGAGCACGAGACAAAAAAAAATCCACCTGTAGTCACCATTGTTTATGCTCTTCCAACTGTTTGCCTGGCGAACCGTTTTTGCTGATTGGTTGCTTTAAGCCATGTGACGTCAGACGCGAGAAAAAACAAAGTGTGTTAAATTGGGTGACAGGCCTACATGTAAATGGACTTCTACAGCTTGTAACATTTCTACATTTGCCATGCTCTAATAAATACCAGCCTCTCCACCTTTTACTTTGCTCCACACTTGTTTCTGAAGGGCACTTAATGTTGTTGTGTTATCAGGAGGATTTTTTTAAAAGTAGAGTAGAGCCATTGGACTGTTAGAGGTCAAAACTCTGCATGGTTTCAGCTGTTATCTATCGCTTTGTAGAGTTTGACACCTCTGTAATTTGCCGGGTGCAGCGGGTGCCGAGTTATTAAGTGTTGTTTGTCTTGCCTCATTTCTATTGCAGAAATGTATGTTGTATCTCTTTAATTATTTGCGCTGAAGGGACAAAGTTGGTGATTATGATGATTACTTGCTTTTTATATTATGATGCGGGACCCAGTTGTTAGATTAAAACTGTGTCAAGTTATGTGGCTTGTTACAGCATCACCAGATACTGCTGTAGTGTTACTTCAAGAATCTTAGAGATCACTCTGTGTCTTCAAAGTTATATTTCTTGCATCCTGAACTTGTTTGAGCTTTTCGTCTCCTGAGCTCCACGTTTAGGTTTATACCTCCTTTGTTTGCTCTGGTACCACATGATTTAAATTTAGCTAAATTTAGATGTTCATGTCTGTTGACTGTTTTGCATCATGTATACATTTGTAAATTGGTTACTTCAAACATTTTTTTTTTCACACCAATAAATTGAATTCTTATTGTTCTCTCTCATTCTTTCATGCCAATCATTTCAAGGGGGCAGTAGAGCATTAACAACAATGTGACTACAGGCAGATTTTTTTCGTCTGGCGCTTCATGCTGGTGGTTGCACTCCGCGCTCGTGTATACATACATGCATACAAACATATGTATCGTGTTTCGCCCTCTGCCCTGCTAATGCGCCTGTTCTGCAGGCTAGATTATAGAAACCAAATTAACTAATTTGACAAGAAACTTTGACTGACCAAAACCAAAAATCTATTTAAATAGAGTAACCACTCCCAGCCCCTACATTAATAAACATTTAAACATACCTCTTGCTGTGTGTCATTGTCTATTACCTCTGAAAGGGGAAAAATATATTTACCTGAGATTATTAACAATGGTAATGATAAAAGATAAGGAAAAGAGTTAAAATTTCCAATCAGGTTTCAAAATCTTCTTTATGAACCCATAGAATTTTAATTCAATTTGCCAAATTACAAATGTGACATATCAAAATTGTTATTTCCCAAAATTCTATTTCCCTAATTTTCAACTGAAATAGTTCTCTTATATCTGCAAGTTGAACTTATTGCTTTGATCCCCAAGAACTAACTGTTTCAGTTATTTCATCATTGACAATGACCTGAAAGGAATCAGTTGCTCCAAATTTAAAATATCCATACTCCTTCATGAGGGTTGAACAAGGGTATTCTCGTGATGCGTGATTAGCTGAATGATATTATTTTCTGTGAAATGTGAATTTAGGAAATTATTCTTCCTGATCTGTGACCTGAAGGTTTTCCGTGACCCGTGAAGAAGTTAAATTATTAACTGATATTTGTGACTTCACCACTCTATTCTATGTTATTTTGAGATGCGAGCCCTCCAAATGGTTAGAGTTGTCTGTCGAGAGTGACTTTGCAATATGGAGCTTTGACTCATCCTTTCACAATTTTACTTTCTTCAAACACTCTTTCTAGTGTAAGAACAGGTCATTAAAAGAATATCTCATTTGCCTATTTTCGTGATTTGGAAAAACTAAATTTTTACATCTGTAATCCATGATCCTCTATTTTTCCTGTTCGTGAACCGTNCGTACGACGTAGTGTGACACCCTGTGCTCACTACTATACTATGGAATTTCCAGTTTAGCTGGTTTTGGACATCCTTGTCCCACCCCCCTTCCTGCTACCAACCCCCTTCAGAATTTCAAGTGACCCCATAATAACTGTACAGCAGTTGGGTAACAATATTTCTGGTACCACACAACAAGTAAAATTATGGTAACACTAGAAACCAAGGCCAGGGAATTGGAGAGCTAGGAGGGGGACCTCCAGAGGTATAGCCCATATCCTAAATGTTGTGATGATGAGGCAATTCAGGGGATAATCCTCGGAGGTGGGCAGAAGATTTCGCTTCAGGTTTAAGTTCTTCTCACAAAATGTAAAAGTTATTAACCGCGCGGCCATGGGCCGAGCGCGGTTCTAGGTTTACCCGGGGTTTATTATTATTTTTTTTTTGTCAGTGACCAGACGCAGACCTCCGCTCGGCCAAATTTTGAGTCACGCAACGTGTTATGTTTTTCCGCCAGAAGCTGTTAAAACATAAATACACGGACAATTTTACGGATATTGTTTTCT